AAACTCAAATTAGGATATATGCTGCTGAACACTGCTACTCTGAGGCAAACATCTACTGCCAAAGAGAACTGAAACCACTTTTCTTAGGGTTTTGTAGTATTCAGCCCCAGAGAGCTTATGGTTCAAGAGGATACTTCAAGTGGATAATACTGTGATGATTGTGAAAAAGATTCTCAGCTGGTTTAAATCAGTAGAAGTTTACCAAAATCAACAAGCTAAAAGTCAACTGCAACGATGCAAATTAAATTTTAGAATCATGTTCAAGTAGCAACGTTTTATAGTAAATCCATCAGAAACACAAATTCCACTTTTTTCTTGGACTAAAGAAAACTTGGACATTTCACTGATAAGCACACTGTACTCTCCCCCTAGTCCTGCATACTCAGCAGCAATTGTTCCTGGGATGTCATTCCAAAACCTGCTTTTCAACAACTCAGACACAGAGCTTCTCCTTTCTTGGATCATCTTTGCCTCCATAATCCACATGCATCACAGATGTAAAAAGTCAAACCTCTTATATCCAATTCAGTTTGTACCTTTTAACTATAGCATTAATGTGCCACAAGTATTTCCTAGAAGTAATTGTCATTATAATACAGGGCTCAATTCATTCACTAGAGGAAAGGTTTGCAGAACTCCTGGAAGTAGCCAGCTTCAGATAACGAGACCATTGGATTAAATATAGGTTTAGACTTCTTTTTTTTAATCTTTCCCTTTATCTCTATCCAAATACTCACTCCCTTTTGGCTGCTGTCACTAGAGCACTTCAGATTCTGGCACAGAACCAGTAAAGGAGGTATTTTCAAGAGATGGTAAATCAAGTTATTCAACGCTTTCCCTGGCTTCCTTTCTCAGAGGTTAAATATGTTTTCAAACCAGTAAAAGAAGTGAAAGTTCTTTCAAGTCTCACTTCTCACAAGGCAGGACAAGCAGAAGGGGGTTTTCCAATATTCACCACTAACAACAATGCAAGCCTGAGAAGAGCTTTTTTCCTTCTCTGAGCCACGGGATATGCACAAAGGCTTACTCATTATCTTTTCTTGTCATCTCCAAAATGACAGATACAGGGCTATCAGCATAATGGGACAAGGAATGTACACATACATCACGTTTCATTATCCACCTTTACTTTCAATTCAGATTCCTAAGCCAGTTCCAGGAAAAAATGCCAGCATTTATGTGCATATGAGAACTCTCTCTATGCTAATTTCATGAGAACAAGCTCGCACAAATAACACAGTCTTAACATGTAGTTTCTCTCTGTATGTAATAATATACTAGTTCCAAAGATGCTGAAACATATATTTTTGTAAATATATTGAAAAACCTTGTATTCATATTACAACTAACAAGCAAATGTCTGCAATGACACAATTCACAGAACAGGTAGAAATGCCATTGTATCTCAGAAGGAGCTTCAGAAACAGAGTAGACATTTTTATAACCTTGTTAAGCAGTGACACATCTTTCTATGCAATTATCCTGACGTCAGTTCAAATCCATAAGTCATACAATCAGAATAATATAGCAAAATGTACATGCAACCATCCTGATAGCTAGCCAAGCCAGACTCAGCTATTTGTCAAAATACTAGTCACCACTTCAGCATTTCACTGTGGCATGCCAAATGTACTTTTCATTTTTTACAGCAGTTGCTGACCAACACTCAGCACTTATTGTCAAACATGATGATATTCCATGAGAAGCAGTTTCAACTGCTATTCATATGCTCATTAGCTATTTTTGAAGGTCAACATATGATATTGGTAGGAAGGAAATGGGAAAAAATAGTATCACCACTACAAGTATTAAATTGGTTGTCCAAAAAAGTCTCTAAAAAGGACTTTCTATGAAAGTGGTGCTTTAGTCAAATGAAAGCAACCACAACTAATACAGAGCAGTTGAAGATACTTCTATGGCAGGACATAAGATTAAATTATATAATGAGCATTATTCATGAGGCATTATTCATTTCACCTTCAAGAAGACATCTAAAGAAAATAAAATGGATTGTGGCAAGTGTTCTCCACTGATTATGAAGGCACCCTATAATGACTACCTGAGATGTACATCTCTGCACTGTAGCCATCCCTTAAGGTGAAATGAATTCCTTTGTTTCATTCCAGCATTTATCCCTACTTTCTACATAGTAGAGCAACTCTACCTTCATTGCAGAGTATTGTTCCCCCATCATATTAGTAGAAATATACTACAAACCAAAAATCTAAAAGTTTTTTACTGGCTTAGTTATCAACATGCAATTTTCCTGAAGTTCTCAAAACACTTCACAGAGGTGCTAACCATCACTACCCCCATTTTACAAGAGAGAAAAACTGAAAGTTAACATGAAAATTTACATGACCTTGCCCATGATCTGTTACAGCTCAAAAGCTTAAACTAAAAGTAGAATCAAAATCCCAGGACACACTCTTTCATCCAGCATTTCATCCTACCTTAGAAGTAGCATCATATACCATCAGTCCAGCTCTGCTGCATACTATTCAACAAAACCGTAGGCCTGAGAAGTGGTATGGTAAGAATATGGTAAGAAAAATAAAATAGTGAATTATATTAAATATTTATTTAAAGAGCTTAAGACAAACACTACTGCTGTTTACCACATGGAATATCCACACAGCACACTGGAACAGGATGCAGTTGCCTGGCTGGCATTGGTTAAGTTTGTGTCAGAATGAAACACACTACAGCATTCTCAAAATTATGCCGAGCCCAAGTTATTAACCTTGTAAAGAGAGAAAATTTACTACCCTGAGCAGGGGGCCAGGCAAATACAGTTTATATATCTTTTGGTACTTGAGATATCCACAGTGCACTGTGCTTTGTAGATTTATCAGCCCAGTTCAGCCCAGGTGAACTGGGGATGGTCTTTATGCTCTGCTGCCCCACATAGACATATCCTAAATTCTGTGTAAAAGCAGCTAACTAAAATAATACTGCAGATCATCCTTTAAAAAAGAAAAACATTATAGACAAGGATTCCACTTTTTTTTTTAAAATTTCTGAAACAGATAAACAGTTTTAAAAATTTACTATAGGATAAGTTGGAGTATAAAACTACACCTGCACACACATACACGTGTGTACATCAACACATACACAGGTACATGCTTTGCTACTACTTCTTGTGAGTATATTAAACTACCAAAGCATGGTCTTTTTTTAATTGCTTAGAAAAGAAATATTTCAGTAATATTTTTTCCAGAGTAGGCAAAAAACGAGTCCTCAACACCATGACAGGTTGGAAGGACGATGCCTTCCAACCTTGTACCTGTACTGCTGGCCTGCCAAGAACAAGTCTTTACCAGTAGTCTGAAACCCTGGCACACGAATGTGATTTTCTGCACTGATTAATGCTGATCTAGCTGCCTGCACCCAGAATACAAGTCAAAAGAGCAGGAATGCCAGCACAGTACTAGTATGTTTGAGGCAATGATCTTGCCAAAACATTACATATTTAGCACTCTGGAACTGATGCAATGAAAACTGTTGTTAGAAGACTTGAGGAATTTCAGGATAGAAACAAAACAAAATAAATTCTCACCATTTTTCTCTGTCTAATATAAATTTCATCTCTTTCGAAATAATAAGCATTTCTGTATTCCTTTGCTAATGTGACCCATTTACTCAAAACTTCAATATTAGACATTCAATTTGAGAATATCAAGAACATTTCAGTTCTGTTAAGTAGAAATTGTTCTTAGCAATGAAATTATGTCACTGGAAAACAAATATCTGCACTACCAGTACAGAAAACCTCAATACTGTAATGGCTCATAAATATTAGATTACTGAGGAAAAAGCGTTTTACATGTGATGTCTGATCACATGAACACAGCTGTGGACTACCAGATCAGGATTACAGTTTTGGATGTTTCAGTTAACAATAAGACAAAGAAGACCTTCCTATACAATGATCAAAAGAGAAATTAACAGTCAGAATCTAAGGATATACTTGTATAACAGTGGAAACAAAACCAAATATATGTTTTTCAGTTTTCTCAGCTCTAACTCAAACAGTAATTTTTAAACTATTTTAATTAAGGGGTGCAAGGATATTCTGACTTTAACTGCCTCTTCTGCCTTGACATTACAAATTACCCAATCAAAAGTCATTAAAGACCATCAAATAATTTTTATAAAAGAAAAGGCAAAACTAGTGAGCAGTTTTAAAGGATGTTTTAAATTACGCTTTATAATATAATTCAGCCAAAACTCCATGAAATCTTTTCTTCTCTCATTCACACCCTCTTTGGGGTGGCTACAAGACTGACATGCTGTCTTGTCTCCTGTCTTGTACTGTCTTTTTTCAACTTCAACTTGGCTTGCCACATACTTGATGCTTCTTGCTCAGGTTTTTTCACTTTTTTCCCTGTAACTTCAGGAACCGATGAGTGGGGCAGCAGAACTGCCTTTATAATACCATGAGAGACAGGTTTAGATGGAAGTTGACAGGTCTAGATCTTATAGCATGTTTTCAGTTATTTCAGTAATATGTGGCAGCACCAAATCTTTAAGACATACGGACAGCCAATGCCAAAGTTACAATGCTGATCAGCCCTAAAAAAATTCAAAGCAGAGCGCTGCAATAACAGTAATCCAGCACTAAATATGGTCAGTACAGTAGATGGTTGATTATTCATTGAAGAGAAAAAAAATCGTATAATAAACCACATTTGTTATGGCACTTGCTTCTAAAACTTCCTGCTTCTGAAAGCCTGTAACACGTCACACCATTTTGCAATAATTATGTATAATAATCAGAACGAGACACCTCTTTCAACCTCCTATTGATCATGGCTCACTTCAAAGCAATTTTCTGACTTACAGGCTGTGGTTCATACAAAACTCCCTTGCATTTGCCTAGAAAAACATATGAATATATCAAATATATGAGTAGATCATAGGAGCTGCTGAAACGAATGCAAACCTGGCTCTGTTGAGTCTGGTTCCTCATCTCCAGCAATCATTTGTTTTACCAGGAAGTGAACAACTTTTTCAAGGCTCAGATGTCCATGATTTGGCAAGGAAACAACAGGAGAGTTCCACAGAAGCCCATGGGAATTAAGACCAAGTGACATTAAGGACACAGCCAGCTCTCTACGGGAGATTATGACGGGTATGCAGAGGGGGAGGAAATGGTAAGACATCCGAAGATTGTGGCATAACTCTTCATACATTTCTGCTTACAGGCAGAGATATATCAATAATTTCTGGCACATAAACAAAATTCTGATACGCTGATTTACTAAAGCAGAAATGGTAATAATAATAAAACCATTAAAACTCCATAAAGGCCTTTAACATGTCTGAAGATATTTTCATTACTGCAATAAGTGTTAAGTGTTTCCTTTGCTGTTAACAGTTTTTATGGCAAAGCTTTGAAGAATGTCTCACAGGTTATCAACAAAGGCTCTATCTATTGCATATAAAATAACAAACTAAAGAATCTAGAAAACTACTGTCAAGTTGTGGTGCAGGACTAAAGTTGGAATCACAAGAGGACAGATCTATTACTCGACTCATCTGTCACAATCTCAGTGGAAGGAAGCCATCTCAATTGACACCAGCTGAAAGTATAGGCTGATGCATCCTTATTCACTCTCTTAAGCCCACATTTTTCTTTTTTTCCCTCTTATATTCTAGTCACCAAGACCCTTCTGGCCAGCCACTAACAGTCTTTAAAGGCTAATCTTCCTGTTAGTTTGCATTTGAAAATGAATCTCATATGCAGGAAATTAAAGCCTTCCTCTCAAACATAAAGCAGATTCCAGTTGAAAACTAAAGAATTCATGCTTCAAACCACTCTCCGAGGATGTCTTTCTCTATTGGTAACATTTGGAGATGTTTGAAAAGGAGCTAATGAGGACAGGTTTATGTGACTGGTTATAATTTTACCTTCCCAGCTGCACATTTCACATTTGTCTCAGTGAATTACCTGGTAAAATATTTAATGATAATGAATGGTTAAAAGGCTTTGTAGCCAGAGAAACATTTCGAGCTAAAGTTTCAAAAATAGTTGGTAAAGTGAGCTTGCGTAAAAATGCACAAATGGCTAATTGTTCAAAATAAATTTAAAACATTTAAGCACATATAAACATAAACTGTTTTAATGCTTCAAACCACTAAATGATTAAACATATGATGAAAAACAGAGGGGGAACAGGTAGGAAAGGAACTGGGTAAGAATCAGGAAAAACTATATAAGTAGTTCATTTTACCAGCCATGTGAACAATCCCAAAGATCTTCCAGTGTTCACTGACCAAATCTTTCCTGCTGTGCAAATAAAAAAAAATTTTAGCTAAACTAGGCTTTTCGGAGAATTAAACTAATTGAGAACAACAAGTCTTCCTGATGAAGTGGCGTTTCCATGGACCGCTGCAAGGAGAAAAACTTACTCGATGAAGCCGTCAGACCTCACCAGTCCTCTTCCCACCTGCCTATTACCTGGAGCGGGTCAAGAGAAGCAGGAAGCTGCCCTTCACTGTGGTTGTCTTCTCTCCATGCTTATGAACTGCAAAATATAAGTACAAGTCTTCTGGGCTTCACTAAATTAATTTTCCAAAGAGTTCTTCTGTGGCTTTAACAGACAGTGGAGTGAGTATCGACTGAATAGGCTCAAACTCTTGACTTTCAAAGAAAAACTGAAGACCTGTGATAAGATTATTTTATAAAGATATCTAACCCTAAAAGAGGTTTGTCATATTTGCTGTGGCTGAAGAGTACAGTAAAAATTTGCATCACTGATAGCTTCAGAAGTACTGGTAGATGACAATTACCATTTATTTGCAGCACAGTAATACAGATTAGTGTCTCAGTGTGCAGAATGCAAATTACATTCACCATAATTAAAAAAAAAAAGTAAAAAGCAGCAACTGTACTGATCTACTTTTGTTAACTTTTTGAAAAAGATAAATTATTTTAACAAAACCCAAGTTCATCATCGCTCTCATATACATGAGACTGGAGAAAAGGAATGTTTGAAGGAAGACTTTCCTTTGATCAAGAGGAATCGAGTTAGAGAACACCTAGGTAAACCTGACATTCACAAGTCCATGGGCCCTGATGCGATGCATCCACAGGTGCTGAAAGAGCTAGTGGACACTACTGAGGCTGCACACAATGATCTTTGGAAGGCTGTGGTGATCAGGAGAGGTGCCTAAGGACTAAGAGAAAGTAAATGTCAGCCCAGTCTTCTAAAAGGGTGAGAAGGAGGACCCAGGGAACTATGGGCCAGTCGGTCTCACTTCAATCCCTGGAAAGGGGATGGAGGCCTTCTCTAAGCACACGGAAGACAGGAAGGGGATCAGTAGTCAGCATGGATTCACTAAAGGAAAATTATGCTTGACCAATCTGATTGCCTTCTACAATGGAACAACTACCTGGATGGGCAGAGTAGATACTGTCTGCTTTAACTTCAGCAATACAACTGTTGACTCTCACAACATCCTTGTAGGCAAACTCAGGAAGCATGGACTGGATGAGTGGAGAGTGAGGTGGACTGAGAACTGGCGGAATGGCAGATCTCAGAGAGCTGTAATCAGTGGCACAGGGTCTACTTGGAAGCCTGTCACCAGTGGTGTGCCCCAAGGTTCAATACTGGGCCCAGTATCGTTTAACTTATTCATCAGTGGCTTGGATGAAGGGGTAAATGCCTCCTCAGCAAGTTGCTGACAACACAGAGCTGGGAGGAGTGGCTGATACCTCAAGGGCTCTGCAGCCCTTCAGAAGGACGACAGGTTGAAGAGATGGGTAGAGAAGAACCATCTGAAATCTAACAAAGGTAAATGAAGAGTCCTGCATGTGGGGAAGAGTAACCCCATGCACCTGGACAGGCTGGGGATCGACCTCCCAAAAAGCAGCTCTGCGGAGAAGGATCTGGCAGGTGAGCCAGCAGTGTGCCCTGGTGGCTAGTGGTATCCTGGGGAGCATCAGGAAGGGTAATCCTGTGCCATCTACTCTGGAATGGCACTGTTTGAGCAGGGAGGTTGGACCCAATGACCCACTGTGGCCCCTTTCAACTTTAACCATTCTGTGATTGCTCTGATTATGTACCATCAAGCCATTTTTTACCTATTCACCTGTTACATAAAAAACATTTGCCATGGCTGTTGTCCTGAAATGTATGTGCTTATTGAATGTATTCATTATGTCACAGGTATTTATAAAAACAGGAATATAATAAAAGTACAACCCACAATATCTGCTGCTTAGTCACACAGAGTCTCTACTGTTCTGTCAGTGATGCTCGATGCCACTAAGCAGCAGATATTTCTGCGACAATTAAATTTAGGAAAGCTATACCTTTCTGTTGATAAAGATATACTTGCCAGAATGATAAATGCTTGTAAATGATTTTACAATTAGGATATATTTTCATGTCTATGTACACATTTAGGAGGAAGCAATTACTGTAAAAATGTGTGTGGGTTACGATATTGTAAAAGTGAATTTGTCCACAGATTTTGCATTAATAATGTTTCTTGTGGCAGCCTAACAGGCACAGTGAGGTACTTTTCCTCTACAATCATACTTGTGCACAAAGAAAAAATTTAAATGTTGAAATTAAATAAATTCAAAATTTTAAAATTCAGGTGCTTGGTTTCCTCTTGGCTTAGTCTCCTAAGGAAAACAAACATACTCAACGTAGTTATCTGTTTTTCATTCCCTGACATGAATTTTGAACTCAATAGGCCATTTCAATCTAAAGGGAAAAGGTCTACAAAACATTAAAAATCTTAAGAGTTTTCTTTAAATTTGGAGACTGGAGAGAGAGAAAAAAGTTCCTATTAATATTTCAACCAAGAAAAGTTTTAAGATCATTCTTAATTAGACATCAAAAATTCTCATAAAAAGAGACAGCTGAAACAAAGCTCTCCAAATTTGTTTCTAATACATGTCCGGTACACACAAGACAATCAAGGAGTCGGATGTAGCCAGCATGTGTTTAGGAAGGGTCCTACCTGACCAACCTGATCTCCTTTTATGACCAGGTGACCCACTTGGTGGAGGAGGGGAAGGCTGTAGATATAGTCTATGTGGACTTCAGCAAAGCCTTTGACATCATCTCCCATATTACTCTTGGAAATGCTGGCAGCCCATGGCTTTGACATGGCCAGGCACAGAGAGTGGTGGTGAATGGTGCTGCATGCAGTTGGTGGCCAGTCACAAGTGGTGTCCCCCAGGGATCAGTACTGGAGTCAGTCCTGTTTAACATCTTTATTGATGACCTTGATGAGGGGATTGAGTCTACCATTAGCAAATTCAAGGATGACACCAAGTTGGAGGGGAGTGTCAATCTGCTAGAGGGTAGAGAAGCTCTGCAGAGGGATCTGGACAGGCTGGATCGATGGACCAAATCCAACAGTAGTGAGGCTCAACAAGACCAAGTGCTAGGGCCTACACTTTGGCTCAATAACTCCAGGCAGCTCTACAGCCTTGGGGAAGAGTGGCTGTAAAGCTGCCCAGTGGAAAAGGACCCGTGGGTGCTAGTCAACAGAGGCTGAACATGAGCCAGCAGTGTGCCCAGGTAGCCAAGAAGGCCAATGGCATCCTGGCCTGTATCAGTAATAGTGTGGCCAGCAGGATTATGGAAGTGATTCTTACCCTGTACTCGGCACTGGTTAGGCCACACCTCGAGTGCTGTGTCCAGTTCTGGGCCCCTCAATTCAGGAAGGACATTGAGGTGCTGAAGCAGGTCCAGAGAAGGGCAATGAAGATGGTGAAGGGTCTGGAGCGCATGTCCTATTATGAGTGGCTGAGGGAGCCGGGGTTGTTTAGCCTGGAGAGGAAGAGGCTCAGGGGTGACCTTATTACTCTCTACAACTACCTGAAGGGAGGTTGTGGTCAGGCGGGTGTGTTGGCCCTTTCTCCTAGATACCAGCCAAAAGACAAGAGGACATATTCTTAAGCTGCACCAGGGGAGGTTTAATTTGAACATTAGAAAGAAATTCTTCACAGAAAAGGTGATTAGGTATTGGAATGGTCTGCCTAGGAAGGTGGTAGAGTCACTGTCCCTGGAGATGTTTAAAGAAAGACTGGACATGGCACTCAGTGCCATGGTCTAGTTGACAAGGTAGTGATCGGTCACAGGTTGGACTCGGTGATCTCAGAGGTCTCTTCCAACCTAATTGATTCTACAATTCTGTGATTCTATGTACACAGCCTCATTGTGAAATATTTCATTTAGTGGTCTTACCCGCAACTTTTTGAAGCCATTTTCCTTTTGTTTTGCTTCAGAATACAACCATAAGATAACAAATGCTTAGATGTTTATCTAGCCATATATAGGGCTTGAAAATCTGCTGTGAGTAGGATGTTTCCCTGAGAAAGTGCCATCAGCTTCTGCCAAATCTAAAAAATACATTTCTAGTCCTTCTGGTTTAAATGAAAGTTTTCCAATGCTCTCTGAACAGCCAGAAGGGAAGCAGAAGACGACTAGTACACAAATACCTGTCTGACCCACAACTTTTAAAGGAACCAATACATACAAAAAGCAGAAAAGGAAGAAAGCTCTTTTTCTTTCCACCAGCTATTGAAATATGATTTCTTATATATATAAGAACGCTTAAAGGTGGAGCATTCAGCCACAGTTACCCAGCTAAATCCAGCATCTCTTCTGTTTTTAGCAGCCAGGGTACTATTCTATTATTAGACTACTCTTATGAATAATATTACCTCAAAATTAGTTTTAATTAAATAGAACTAGTCCTCTGATTACTAGGTACTCCTTAAAGTGCTTCTGGATGCACAGGTGAGATTGTCTAGAGATCTCTGAAGTTACTGTAAGTGAAATAACTCAAGTTTTTCAACATCTTGGTCATGTGAAACTATACAAGCATTAGGTATTATGGCCAGTACTTGAGAGCTTTTATGTCACAAGAACATCTGTTCTTCTTTGCAGGGGTGACATCCAAAGGTCTTTGGGACTCTGCACTATTCTCTCATCTTAATAGATGACGCTGATGCACCCTGTGAGAACTTGTGAGAAAGCAATTGCTACCTCAGACTGTTACAATCAGCATACTGGGGAAATCTGTTTTTGTTACCATATGTGACACTAGGCAAGTCCCTAACCCTGTCTCACTGGAATGAGGGTAAAAGCAATAGCAGAGTCTACCTTCAGAGAAATTGGCAAGAGAAATAGTTTAGATTACACACCCTCAGCAGCTACACAGCAGGGAGCAGCACAACTCCCTTGCAAGTTTATTTAACGTATGCAGGAATAAATCTGCTCCTCTAAATCTGGCAGCTGCTGTAACTGTTATGCTAACTTTAACAGCAAAACTCCAAATACTTAATTCAATTTAGTTAAAATTTTACTACTGCTATCTAACAGGCAGTGTATTAGGACTAAGAAAGAAAAATAAAAATCCAGGTCTATGAGTGTTTATACTTATGTCCTTTCTAGTCCTACACAGAAAATTTCACATGTTTCTGCTGTTCGAGACAGAACAGGGATAAATCGTTCCAATTCTGTCACATTTTTCCAAGTGCACTCAGCACACTGGGGTATTGGCCACTTTCCCCATACCCCAATTAACAAAACTCTTTACAAAATCTTTTACACCGTAATACGGAGTCAAGAAAGTATATACATTACTTCTGACTAGTAAAGAAAATTCAGAAATATACTGAAGTTTGGGTACCTCTGAGGAAGACAACTGCACACATATCAAGTAATAATACTCTGTTTCTTTTGATCTTCTCAAGAGTTGCAGGCTGTTAGCATGAAATAAAGGTTTGTGTGGCCAGAGAAATTTGCCTCACACAGCATTTTTTAATGAATCAATAATGATAAATGGGAAAATGTTTTGTAGCCCTGACCACCAGCAACTTAGTTACATATTATGCCCCGGTATGTACCTCCAAGCCCTCAGCACAGTGCTTTTTCCAGGCTCATCATAAGGCCAAATTAAAGACCATTGGATTCACTTGTATTCTTACCACTGTATAAGCAAAAGTATCCTTTAGCCTTTTATACACTTTTTTTACACGTATTTTTCTACTTTTCCAGATAACGAATTCTTACAATGCCTTAATATATTTGCTACACAACTGTTTTATATTGGTACCCAGTTCTAGTATCAGCACATCTTAATTGCCAAGTTTTCCCAGTGAAACAACGCAATAATAAATTTACGGTAACTACAAGTAATTTCAGATTTCCATTTGCCTTGAAGCTTCTCAATACATCTCATTTCAGAGACAGATCAGAGAAAGAAAAGTTGATAAAAGAGCCAAAGTAAGCATCAGTCAAAACGCCACAAAGATTTGTGCAGTCCTACCAAAGCTTTCCATGTCTTTCTTAACTGTACAAGACAAAGCAATAGATCTGGAGTTTTAACAAGTCCTTTTATCTAAACAGAATTAGTGCTCATACATGGCAATGTTTTTCAGAGTATTGCTTTCCATTTCCTGTTTGTTGGGGGTTTTGTTTTTGTTGGTTAGATTTTTTTTGGCAATGAAAGTTACTTCAAAAGATTTGTCTTGAGTGTTAACCCTTATTAATGTTCTCATCCAGAGTACTACAAAAGATATCACACACCACAGTGGAACTTTCCTAGAAGTTGGTAGTTTTATTCCCATGCACATACATGTGGAGAAAAAGTAAAAAGGAAAATTAAAAAAGGCTGTTGAGAAAATCTAGGTGAGAATTTATAATAAATCAGGTAGCAGCCCATGTCCATTTCTACGGAAGACAAAAATGCTTACTTTAAAGGAGCAAATCATATATAACTGTTTAAATCCACAAAGGTCCTTTGATTAATGAGTATGAATAAATTGTTAACACATTCTGTGAGCCACATACTAACCGTTCACAAGCTGCAACCTGTTTAAGGCTACTGAAATGTGATGGGGGGAAATCCCAACCACCCACACCTTTTTTGTCCAGACAAATCATCCAAAAAGAAATTAATAAAGCTCGGTGCTTTCATAAGACTTCGCATCTTCAAAGAACCAAGTGCACATTTAGCTAATCAATTAATTCCCCTGTCTTGAATCCAAAGTGAATTAGAAGGATGGAGGCCAAATCATCAAAGTTCAGGCAAGCCTGATGAGCTTCATGCCACGGGGGCTGGCTGCAGCCCCGGCAGCAGCAGGTCCAGCGCTCCTCTGCTTTATGGGGCGCCGCCCCTGCCACAGCTGAGTCCATCCAAGCTGTAACTCATGGAGGGGTATCTGAAAGTCACTTCAGCGCTCCCTGCTTGAATAGTGTTCACTTGGAAGCTCTGGTACAGAGGATTCACCTTCTAGGTGCTCTTTCTGCTCTAAGCCAGGGCCAACCGAAGGCTCTTAAACAAAAATGCAACCAGCTACCTCGGTGAGGGGAAGCAAGAGGCTCACTGCCTTGGCTAGGGTCATTGCAAAGCAGTTGCCACCTTTGGTGAGCCAGCTCCACTCCAGCTGCCCGGGGTGCCCGGCCAGCCCCACCGCTGTGCCGGACACGGCGGCTGCAGGACCTCGCCGGCCCCCCAGACGGCTCCCAAGGCCGCCTCAGGGAACTGAACGGCTGGTGGAGCCTCCAAGTTTTGGCCACTGAAACGTGACACGGAGGCGAGGGGGGTATCACCACGCGGAAGAGGCAGGACCTTCCTGCCCAAAACTGCTGGAGTTGACGAGGCGAAGGTGCACACGACACCTCCCTGCCTCCCTCGGAGTTTATTCCCCCCAGCTCGCTCTCTCACTGCCGTGCCCACCGGGTTTGAAGAGCCCGGGCTCGCTCTCACCAAGGCGGGCCGGGGAGGCGGCCCCACCGCCGCCGCCGCACACAAAGCGACCGCCCGCCACCACCGGCTGCTGCGAGCGACGCCCAGTCCCCGCCTCAACCTGCAGCCTATGAGCGAGGAGGTACCGCCCCGAACGGCGGCGGGACCGGGACCGTACCAGCGCCCGCTGTCGCCCATCGCCGAGGGAAGCGCCGTGCTCTCGTCCCGTGCCGCCGCGTCCCGTCCCGTCCCGTCCTGCCCCGTCCCGTCCCGCGGCCCCGCGCCGCGGGGAAGGAAGCGCGAGAGCGGTGGGTGCCGCCGCCGGGGGAATGCGCGGGGGCGCCGGGAGCGCCGGGAGCGCCGCCGTTCGCGCCGTTCGTCCGCAAGGTGTCGCCGTCGGCAGCGGAACGCGGGCGGCTCCCGCCGTATCCCGATCCTGGTCCGGGTGCCGGTGCGGACACGGGAGCGCTGAGCGCGGGGTTGGCCGGGCCCGTCCGCCCGCCCCTCTGCCCGGGTCCGGCCCCGACAGCGCGTCCGCGGCAGCGGCGGCGTGAGAGCCCCGCTCGCCTGCGGGGAGGCCGTCGCTGCAGGGCAAGTGCTACTGATCATGTTCAGAGCCCCGAGTTGGAGTGGCTCTCTCGCCCAGCCACTTCCCTCAGCCCCGACTTGTTTATTTATTTTCAACTGCCCCGGGTGTTTGTGCGCGAGGTCGCAGCGGCGGGTGTTGGGGGAACACCGCTCCGGAGGCGACGTTTTCCCCAAGCTCGGGGCCGGGGGGCAGCGGGGAGTACAGAGTACCCAAGGGACTAGGGGGCTCAGCAGGGCCGGCCCTGGGACATCCGAGCGCCCTCCCGGAGGATAAAGAGCGAACGGGGCTTTTGGCGCCAAACGCGCGGTCCCGCCCTGCGCGCGTGGAGGGGGGGCAGGGCCGTCGCTCCCGCCTTTCTCCCCCTGTTTCCTAGCTCTCCTTCCTGAGTGTGTCAGGGTTTTTACCGATTTTTTTTTTTTATTGCCTTTTGGGGGGGGTTAATAATATCCAGCAGCTTCAAAGCGAGGCAGTGACAGTCATCTGTCTGCGAGCAGAGGGTGGATGCGGAGGCCGGGGCGGCCGCGGGGGCCGGCGGGCGGGCGCGGAAAGTGCCACAGACACCATCAGCTGCCTTTTTTTTTCTCTCCCCTTCCCCCCGCCACTCCTCCCCCTCACACACCCACCACCATCACCAAGGAGGTAAGAAGAGGAAGCTGCAGGCTCTGGGCTGCAGGACAAAACCCCAGTCAAATAAATCCAATTCTCTATCGCGTTTGAGTTGCCGAGAGGAGGATGGGGCGGGAAGGGGAGCGCAGGGGCAGAACGGAGCGTGAATGGGGTTCTCACTGAGCAGAAGGAAATCCTGGAGGATATTTGTGTTTTGGTTTGGAGCTGTCGCATTGAGATCGCCAGTGTTTTGTAGGTGCCTCTTTACTGCTTTGCATTTTAAACGGTTTAATGTATTTCCCTAGTAGAAAAATGCACAGTCCTGGAGGCGCTCAGGGGGCGGGGCGGGAGCGCAGCTGAGCCGAGCCGGGCGCGTTTCTCGGCGTTTCATCATAAGGCTTTTCAAGGATTTTTTCTTCCCCCTCTTTTGGTCTCCGTTTCAGCGTCAGCTGTTGTGAACCCAGCAGAACGATTTCCTTTCGCGGTACCTTTACCAAACTGAATGGAAACGCTGACTGGCTTCTTTGGACTTTAAGCCTTTTTTTGTTTTTGGGATTTTGTGTGTGTGTGTGTGTGTTTTTTTAATGTCTGATGCAACGGAGCTCTCGGCAGAGGAATGGGGCAGTGGTTGAATGGCCGCGGGTAGTGAGTGGGGGTCTGGCCGAGGTAAGGGCAGCACCGTACATTCCCCGGAGTGAGAGAGCTGGAGAGCTGGTGTGTTTGCGGGAGGTTTGAGTGCATGAAGTGGCAAAATGAGCAGAGTTGTTGTCCTTGCAACCTCGCTGTTGCAGGAAAAAGGGGGAGAAAAACTTCCCGTGCCTTCTTGGCAAATCAGGAGGCTTTGTTGGTGGCGCCGGGGTGGTTTTAATGCATTTTGTGCGTGAGATTATTACATAAGGTTGATAATTTCTGTTGCTGCTGGATTTCCCCTCCTCTCCCCCCTCCCCCCGTGGTTTGTGTGCGGATTTCGCTGGCTCGCTTTGAGTGAGTGAACTGGCGATTTGCGAAGTTGCAAAGAGCCCCTCCGCCCCCTTTTTTGCATCCTTCTCCTCTCCCCTTTGCACTGCTCCGCAGATGACAAAAGGAGTAAACTTCCTCTACTTTTGCTGGCATATTAAGAAGCCTTTCTGGAGAGATTACGGTATCAAAGCCACGCATCTGTCTGTAGTTACTCTGCAGTTTTGAGCGTTTGAAGCGGTTTGGGGAGAGCAGGCGAGGGCTATGAGTACAGGCTGGGTTTGTGTCCCCGCGGAGCGGCGGGGCAGGCTCTGCACGGGGGAGCACTACCTGAGCGCTTTGCTTTCAATATCTTGAGTCGGGAGGAAAGGTATGAGATGCATTTTTTTCCTCAACTTGCTGAAGGCTCCCTCTGCCTTGCTATTGATGGTGGGATTATTATTTTTTTCCCTTCCGTTAGGAGGGAGTCACGGTCTTGGCTGCTTCTTAATTCGTATTTTAATTGTGGTGTTTTTTTTTTTTTTTTTTTTGGTTTAGTTTCAGGTCTTGGGAGAACCTCTTTTCTTCTTCCTCTTGGTGGAAATACCCATAAAACCTGTCTTTGAAACCATTGCCCGACCCAGGGATCAGCAAAAAGAGACCCGTAATGCCAGGAATGGTCAGTAAAAACCCAGATCTCGAGTTCGACTCTTTGCAGCCCTGTTTCTATCCAGACGAAGATGATTTTTATTTGTGCGGGCCGGACTCCGCTCCCCCCGGCGAGGACATCTGGAAAAAGTTTGAGCTACTGCCCACCCCTCCCCTGTCTCCCAGCCGGGCCGGGCTCCAGGAGCACCCTCCGGGGTGGGGCCCGGTGGCGTGGGGAGGGGCGGCCCTGGGGGGCTGCCGCCCCACCGATCCCCTGGACTGGGCGTCCGAGCTACTCCTGCTGCCCCCCGAGGCCGACCTGTGGGGCGGCGCGGACGGAGGGGACTTCTTCGAGACGGGGCCCGGCATGACCAACAATCTCAACTCCATCATCATCCAGGACTGCATGTGGAGCGGCTTCTCCGCCCGCGAGAAGCTGGAGCGGGCGCTCACCGAGAAGCTGCAGAGCAAGGCGCTCGCCGCCGCCGCCCCGCCGCCACCCCCGGGGCCCGCGGGCGGCCCCGCCGCCGGGAGCGGCCGCGCGGAGCTGGGCGGCGCCGTGCCCGAGTGCGTAGACCCGGCCGTGGTGTTCCCCTTCCCCGTCAACAAGCGGGAGGCGCCGGCGGCGGCGCCGGCGGGCGGTGGGGCTCCGCGGGGCGGCCGCTCGCCGCGCCCCGCCGGGGACAGCCGGGCCAGCAGCAGCAGCTCCGGGGACGACACGCTCAGCGACTCGGGTAAGCGCTCCATCACCGGACGGTGGGGACGGGGGGGGAGGCTCCGGGCCCCCGCCAGCTGCCCCGCGGCGGGAGGGGGCGGCTGCGCCCCGATGGCGGCCCCCGGCGGGGCGGGGCGGCCGGCAGGCGGCAGCAGGGGCGGCCCAGCGCCGGGGCCCCCGCGGGGGCGGCGGACACGGCCCGGGGGCAGCGCCCGCCAGCCCCTTGTGCTGTGCAGGCAGGTCTGGGGGGCGGCGGGGCTGAAGCGTCACTGGGGAGCCGGCCCGCCCCGGGGGAGCTGCGCGGTGCCGGGGAGCCCCGGGCTCCCTCACCGTGTCCTGCCCCCCGTGGGGCGGAGGGGGCGGTGCGGGCCGCCACTGCCACCCTGGGCACGGGGTTTATGGGGGTGACCGTGTGCATGTGCCCTCAGGCACGATCTGGAAAGACTTGGAGCCGGGCTAGTGACCCCTTAGAGCATCGCTTGTACTGACAGAGCCCAAAATGCCCAAAACGTCCCCTGTCCGTGCACGCAGAGGAGTCCACTTGGACTGAAATGCGGTTCGGCTTGTGTGGATGAGCTGGTCCCTATGACCCCAACCACAAACTTGGTGATCCGTCCCGGGTTTCAGAGCCTGCTGTCCCTTTAATGTCTGGTTTGACAGCTTTGGGTGAGGAAGCACTTCCAACAGCTGTCTTCTTGGCAGTGCACCAAGCGCCGGCTTAAAGGGTCCCCGGCTGGAACAGCTTCACCTTCTGCCTCAGAACAAACCCAGCGATTGTTTCGTTTTCCGGCTGCTTTTCTACCAAGCAGGGGCTGTGTTGTGGCTCTGTGCTTGACTTTTGTGTCGCAGCTCGACGATTCCATTCAAAATACATACATTCTGCCTAAAAATTCTTTTCTGCCTCTGTGATTATGTGGGTGGTAGCCCTGCTTTGATTAAAAATCAGACGTGTTTAAAAAAACCCACCTCATTAAACTTAAAAAGTTTTCAGAAATCACTATTCTTTGCTCATTTCGTGTGCATTACGTTACTTTTACAGATCTCTATCTGACTACATATGGTGGGCACACCCTGGTTTTGCCATCAGTTATTTTATTACTGCTTTTACTGGATATATTTTGTCAATAAATACATCTGGATTCATACTTGGTCGGAGTATTTTCAGCCAGAATAACATCTAATTTATTTTCCATTTTTTATTACCAGAAGATGATGAAGATGAGGAGAAAGAGGATGAAGAAGAAGAAATAGATGTTGTTACAGTGGACAAAAGACGCTCCTCCATCAACAAGGCTGTTACCACCCTTACTATTACAGTGCGTACTAAAAATACTACTTTTCCATCAGTCACGACACAGCAGAATGGACTGATTTTAAAGCGTTGCGCACCAATTCACCAGCAGCATAATTATGCCGCTCCTTCTCCATACATGGAGCCTGAAGAAGCTCCACCGCAGAAAAAGTTAAAAACCGAGGTGCCCCGTCCGGTGAAACCCATGATCCAACCAAAGCCTAAGAGTTCAAGTCCTCGAAACTCTGATTCAGAGGATAGTGAACGTCGACGCAACCATAACATCCTGGAGCGTCAACGACGTAATGATCTACGGTCAAGTTTCCTTACACTAAGGGACCATATTCCAGAACTGGTTAAAAATGAGAAAGCTGTGAAAGTTGTGATCTTGAAAAAAGCCACTGAATATGTTCATTCTCTTCAGGAAGAGGAGCAAAAATTATTGCTAGAAAAGGAAAAATTGCAAGCCAGACAACAACAATTGCTAAAGAAAATAGAATACAAGAGGACTTGCTAAACTTTTTTTTTGTTTTGGTTCTTTTTTTTTTTTTTTTTTTTTTTTTTTTTTTTTTTTTTTTTTTTTTTATTTTTTTTTTTTTTTTTTTATTTTTTTTTTTTTGTATTTTTTTTTTTTTTTTTTGTTTTGGTTTTTTTTTTTTTTTTTTTTTGGCTGACCAGGACAGTCATTGCCACTTTGCACATTTTTGATTCTTTTAAAAAAATTGTTGTTTTTTGACGTTAAGAATGTTGGTTTTAATTTCAATCCAGTCCCTGAAGTAATCGACAAACTATATTATCCGGGTACGGAGCAAATGGATGTTCTTGCAAGGAGTTTATTGCAAGACTACCAAACAACAAAGAACTGCCCTTGTTTTTCTTCTTAAGAACTGTAGATGGTGGGGATTTTTTTTGTTTAATTGTTGTGAGCATTTGGAGCTGCTGATGACATCTAGTTGAGTTTTAAAATGTTCATTTCTAAGTTTTATGGTGCTTATGTTCTAACAGATGTTACTTTAGGGGTTGGCATTTTGTACCCCTGTGGGAATTTCTGTAAATACCATCTACACACTTGCCTTTTGTACATGTCTTGGGTTATGAGAGGTGGCTTTTGCTGCCAGTATTAGACTGGAAGTTCATACCTAAGTACTGTAATACCTCAATGTTTGAGGAGCATGTTTTTGTATACAAATATATTGTTAATCTCTGTTATGTACTGTACTAATTCTTACATTGCCTGTATACTTTAGTATGATGCTGATACATAACTAAATTTGATACTTATATTTTCGTATGAAAATGGGTTGTGAAAGTTTTGAGTAGATATTACTTTATCACTTTTTTGAACTAAGAAACTTTTGTAAAGAAATTTACTATATATGCCTTTTCCTAGCCTGTTTCTTCCAGTTAATGTATTTGTTAATGTTTGGTGCATAGAACTGGGTAACTGCAAAGTTCTGTGTTTGATTTCTTCCAACGATGTACATTTAGTGCTGCGTCTTATAGCACTTTGAAATACCTCATGTTTATGAAAATAAATAGCGATTACATGATGTGCCATTTACTATTTTTCTTTTAAATAAAATCTTTAACTTTGCAATGTTGATTAAATACAAAAACATGGTCCTGTATCCTGGACATTTCAACTTGCAAACCACAGGTGATGCTTTACGAAAAGTCAGCTAGGCAGGACATTTCCATTTTTGGTTAAAATCAATTGTAATAAGAACAATTTTCCTGTTATTTCATACCTGTGATGTCAGGATCATCCAAGGGGACCAGACATCACAGGTAATGGAATGACTTACAAAGACTTCTGGAATACCCACTGTAACCAAAGAATTGGGAGGGATCAGAAACAACAGGGCTAGCATGCTTCTGATAAGGGACTGGCCTCATTGTGGCACACAGGTGGATGGGTATATGATGGAGGTACACTTGCCAAAGCACAGAAAGTGAAATATTGGTAGTAAACAAAGATTTTCCTTGGTTTCTATTCTTTGCATTACAAAAGGTTTGAAGCTGTCCCATCATTGCATGGAGGAAGTACTGTTCTTGTTGGTAGCTAAAGATCCTGTTTGTTACTACTTGTGTTAAGTCAGTAAAATTAAAAATCCCAAGGAAGATACAGAGCCATGAAGTGTGTGTCAAATGAACATGAAACTTGGCAGGTGGTTGTCTCAAGAGGTGGCATTTGGTGTGACAGGAGCAAGATGTGAAAGTCCATGTTTGGTCATTGGGTTAAACACCATGGGACCAAGGAGTTGCCTGTACAGGTATTTGTGACATTGTCTTTCCTCACTCTGACTCTGAAAAAGAAGGTATGAATTAATGACCAAATGGCCAGTAAGTCCCTTGAGGATCCACTTGCAAGAAACTAGTCTGGGACATCTGCCCCTACTTGAGCCACAAAGGAAGTTGCTTGGTGATGGAGGTACAGAAATCTCAGGTTTGCTATGAGGGAACAGTAAGTGCAGTGTGGGGGCAAAATCACCGCAGTAATGGGTGTGCCATATGTCCATCTCTATAGTTTGTTACGTATTCATAAACCTCTGTGTTCTTGGGCCCCAGCCAGTTTCTGTACCATGACCATTGGGGACTGTTCAGTCCAGTAAATCCAGATCTTCAACAGGCAAAAATTGGTGTGACATTGGATTCAGCTAGGCCTACACAAGTTTATGGCATTTGAAGACTGAATAGACTTGAGATCTAAATTCAGACTTGACCACAGTCATTCCATATATAAAATCTTTATTTTCATTCCCTTGATGTGTACTTTATCATGCTGCTTCCACTTTCCCAGTACAGTGAAAAAACCAATAAAAGACAGCCTAAGCAGAGACAATTGGTCTGGACAATCACAGGGTACATTTATTTGTACTAGCTAAACCAATTTTCAAACCGCATTTTATTAGCCAACTGTGGTACTGTTTTCAAGCAAGGTATAAGTCACATACATCGTCGTGAAGAAGGAAACCTTCCCTTCCCTTCCCTTCCCAAACCTTCCCAAACCTTCCCTTCCCAAACCTTCCCTTCCCAAACCTTCCCAAACCTTCCCTTCCCAAACCTTCCCAAACCTTCCCTTCCCTAACCTTCCCTTCCCAAACCTTCCCAAACCCTTCCCTAACCTTCCCTTCCCAAACCTTCCCTTCCCTAACCTTCCCTTCCCAAACCTTCCCAAACCTTCCCTTCCCAAACCTCCCTTCCCCTCCCCTCCCCTCTCGTTCCCCTTCCCCCTGCTGAAGAACTTCTGGTCTAAGTCCTCCACTCAGAGCAAACTCTGGGTCAGATCACGTTGCTCAGGGTCATGCAACCAAGACTTGAATATCTTAAAGAATTGAGATTCCACAGCCTCTTCGGACAACACACGTGGTTTTGACTACCATGACTGACACAAATTTTCGTACTATCTGCTTGGAATTTTCCTTGTTGCAAACCTTGTCCGTTGCCTCCTGCCTTTTTGTGTTTTAACCTCCTGGAAGAGTCTGGCTCCACCTTGTCTGTAACCTCCCATTAGGCAATTGAAGACAGCAATTACTTCTTTCTCTTCTTGAAACAACCCAGTTCTGTCTTGTATTGTGGTAGCCAAGCGTTTAGAGTATAATAAAGGTGTCAAATACTCAGATTTGTTTGGATATTCAACACAAATCCCATCTGAAAGCCTCTATTTCGATGTGGGAGTCTTGGCCTGATTCTTTAGAAATCGGTTATAAACATCCAACTGATGTCCATGGAGACAGAATCTGGCCCCATAACGCTCCCATATACTGTACTGTTTGCTGCTCTGTGCTGTACTAGGAGTACTCTGGGGTTGTCTTTTTTTTTTTCTTCTTTTAAATGACTTCATGGAGTTAAGAGGTTTGTTTTCATATTGTCAAGGACAAATGTTTTTGGTAAAAAAAACACCTCAGTTGTAGGATGTTAGTAAGTTACAGTTGTTAAATAGAAGATTTCTTTTGTATTTACATGATAAAAAGAATTGAGAATGGTAGGAAAGATAGCTTTTGAAAAGAAGAAGTAAACAATGAATTGTGTAATATTTTCTGAAGAATCAGTACAGTATCCAGAAGGCTACATAGAGAAGGACATAGAAACATAGCTGCAGCTGTAACAAAAGATCCTTCTGCATGCCTATCTAGAGTGGGGAGTCAGTCAAATGATGAATTGAGACAATATTACTTTTTTTTTTCTTTTTTTTAATATACATATGTACATTTACATAACAAATGCAAACATATCTGTCTAGAGAATCAGTTAGAAAATATGGCAAGTACCTAATAGCTGCTTATTACAAAGTAGGTATTGCTGATTCCCAAAGGGAAAACTTAATTAAATTGATCTCAGTGTTATCTGATCTGTTATAAAAATTCTCAAGTTTTTTTCATACAAGACAGAATTTGCTGATGGAATCAGGTGGTTTTATCCAAAATCACATATCCTAGAGGATGGTCTCCTTCCCCTTTTCTGTTTATTTTCTTAAAAACACCACTAAGAACGCAAGGGACTTGTAACACCAAAGTGAAATGATTCCTCCATAAACTAGTATAAGTAAAACACCAGCGGGAGAGCTTAAAAAGGTGAAATGTGTTAATAGTGTCATTACCACTTGGTCACCTGTAGCCATGAATGCAAAGGAAAGTGCATTTCTCAACCCCCACGCTGCTGTTAGAGCAACTTATCACCAGGTCTTGGCTGAACTGCTTGAGATTTCATGAAGTATGAAAGTTGCTTCTCGTAAGTATACTGATAAACCAAGCTAGAACAAAATTACTTTAAATGGATCCCATTCTTAAGCTTGAATTTCCTGGCTTGTGGCTGGTTTAAATCAGAAGATGTAATTTTGTTTAAAATATTCATTTTGAGATAGCTAATGACTTTTTAATCTACCATTGCCAAATGCCACGTGATCTATAGCTGGGTTACTTCTTGTGTCCATTTTCCCTTTCCCTTTTCGCCTTTCCTGTCTCTTCTCTCAGGAATCCAAACCCATCAAACTTAAAGGGATCTGAGGTGTCACAGCAAGTCCTTTAAATTAAGTAGGGATTTCAGTAGAAACAGGAGATACACAGCACTTCCAGAAATCTCACAGGAAAATAATGGTATAACACATGGAAGAGAAGCTGATGGTAGGGCCAACACAATGGTTTTTTCTCAGCACTTCTGGCTACTCCTGGAGCATTGACAGGCAGAGCGCCAGCTTTGCCTGAACAATTGTCTGAATTCAGAGCCCTTGGTCTGTGCCAAGACAAGATTTAACTTCTGCTGGGCTACCCTTTCAATCTGCTGCCCTACACTATTTTTTTGCTACCTATCTGCTTGTACTGACCTTGCATGGAGGCTTGGCCACAGTAAACCAGGGATTTTGCTGCTGGGTTGCATGAGGTGGTAATTTCTGCTGCCTGCAGACCTGTGATTCGCATTCAACTTCATGTCTCTAGCGGCCAAATTCTTCTTTTGATGAGATTATTGATATTTTTACTCAATAGTTGACTCAGGGAAGATAAAATGAATTCTCGATCTCTGAACCATGAAGATTCCTTGCATGTGTGTTGT